ATTGAAAATTTTTAATTGTATCTCTATGATTATGTTATTGGAAAAACCTGCTTTAACAAGATGCAAGAAGCACAAATCACAAGAAGAGAAATAAGTAGATTTGATTACAATAAGATTAGTAATTTCTATGTAACAAAAGAGGCAATAGATACATTTACCAGATACAAGAATCTCCTGCAAATCAATAAATAAGACAAGAAACTCTCCTTAAAAATGAGTTTATTATATGACAGATAATTCATAGACTGGAAAACCAAATAGCTAAGAAGTACTTAGGGATACTCTAAATTAAAGCACCAAGGAAATACCACTTATTGGCTAATAATTGAGTAATGGATAAAAGCAAGTATTATCAGAGATGTGGAAACTCTAGTGGATGAGACTCTAAAGTAGGCATTAGAGAACTATCTGGCAGCTCTCTTGTTACACTAAGTGCATGAAGTCCACATTAAGTGTATGAAATCCTTATGTCTACAAAAATTTCACTTCTTGGAAAGTATCCCAGAGATTTCCTCAATAATATCACGAAAAGGACACACGAAGACTTCACAAGCTCTGCTTGTGGTAGCGGGCAATTGTACACAATCTAATTGCCCATTTCAGGAGGAATACTAAGTAAGGAAGAGAAGTAAATGACTGGTTAGACAGCCAGCAAAATGACTAAATCATAAAAACATAGCAATGAGCAGGAAAAAGAGAGAAAGAAATAGACAAACTCTATAGCACAACAAAATTCATTTAAATTGAAATACATGTATATAAAACAATTCTATATGCTTTACATCTGTAATCTGTGCAAGAATTTATGATTAATACATTAGAGTTACCTTTGTGGGGAATGAGAGAAGATGGGAATGAGGAGAGGAGAAAGGGACAAATAAATACGAGAAAATTTTGTGTGACCAAATGATAGCTGTATTTTAGGAAATGAAGGAAATTATTAACTCAACTTTCAGCACCTTAGGCTCAAAGAAAGAAAGAAAGAAAACAAGAAAACTGAGGTAAATCACTAGCATGAATACAATATTCATTAAAATGTATATTTCTACCTGGTAATTATTCTATATAGAGTTTTGTTACAATAGTCTTTAGATGTTGCACAGTATGCCAAAACTGACAATAAAACAAAACAACAGAAATTTTAGAAAATGAAAAATGTTGAAGCTAGTTTGAGACTTTAAAAAGTATACTGGACACTTTTTGGATATCTGCCCAACTTTCAATGACACTGTTTCTCCGTCATCTGCCACTTCCCTCTACCCCTCCCCTCCACCCCATTTGTCTCATTAACTGGAGTGAGATTCTGGCAGCCAAACCATACCCCGGTGGGTCAATAGGAATCTATCTCCCATGAATCAGGAATTGGGATCCAGAGACAAGGACAACTTCTATTTATTCGGGAACTTAGGAGATTTGACCTGAGGAACTTTTCAAGGGTTATATTCTGACTGACCGCTTGTGCATAGACAGGCAGTCTCTGCCCAGCAAGAGAAGATGTACAGAGGAGCAGAGAGAGAAAGTAGGAAAAAAGAGGACTGTTTGATTGCTTGCCCCAGGTGGTGCTGTGACTAATATCTCCCAAATCGTCCAGCCTTCTTCTAATAAGTTTCCCATTAAAAATATTTCTTAAGCTAGCTTGAGTTGATTTCTATAATTCTCAACCTAATAAGATTTGAGCAAGTATAGCATAGACTTCCAGTACTCACTCACATCCTACCTTATTTTCTATCTTGAACTTTTTCATCTCTAACTCTCAAGACTAAAATGTATAGCTCCGGAATCTTGCTTGGGTTCTGGGTCTTATATTTTCATATGTTTCTGTGGCAGTTTTTTTGGAGCACATGACCATTTATTTAACAGAAGACAAGTCAAAGTTCTTCTTTCAGAGGGAGAAAGTAAAAAGTGAGAGGACTTCTGAAAGTCCAAGTGTAAATTTGGGTTTAAAAAGAGCTAAATCCAAGTGCTGAAATGCTCCCATCAACAAGGTGACATTCTTTTCTGTGGGATCTACTTTCTTGTGTTTTAGTTTCTCTCTTTGCAGACTGTAATGGCAAAGACAATTAGAATAACTGCATTATGATATTGTGACACTGAGAAAACATCAGTGAAAAGTGACTGCCTCTTTCATAATAATTCCAGTGATTCCCAGCAGCCTAGATTGTGTCAAGTGGCTGTTCTTAAACCAGTTGTAGTGACTCAGATTGACTTGTCTCAACACCGAAGCCTCTTCTGAATTCAAGGAGTAGTTGAGGAAAGCTCCATGCAAAACAGATAGACTCCAAAGAGTGGAGAATTAGTTTAAGGAAAATCCAAATGTAATACCAAAAAAAAAAAAAGGGAGGGGAAAATAGATACCAGACAGACAGAACTATGCTAACTAAATTTATCATTTCAATCTCTCACCTAATACAGTTTTTTAATTTCACGTTGAGGAAAACCTCTTCTCAGCAGAGGAAGAAAACTCAGTTCAAATCTTAAATTTGTAATGAACTGTATAAATATACCTCATAAACTGTTCAAAGACTTATCAAATTAGTAGCTTATCAAGGGAAGGAAAATAAAAGAATCATGAGGCATAATACTGGCAGTTCTTACTATTTCCAAGAATTATGGGAAAAATCATAAAGCCTTGAAAACATTCTATTTTGAACTCTTCAACAGCTACTGTTTTTAATATTGAACGTTTAAATACTCCTGTAGGGAAAGAAAAGGACTTTTTTGTTCCACTGAATAAGGCATTTCAGCTCTAATGTGATTCATAATTTTAAATATGTATCAGAATCTCCTGATCAGTTTTTAACAAAACACACATTTTTGGAGTCCATCTTCACCAGTCTTCAAAGAGTTTTCCATTACATTTATACTTCATACTGTCAAAAATTTACCCAAAACTTGAAAGCAAGATAACAAGATTATTGGATTTTTTAAAATTCAGTGCTGACTGAGTTTAATTTCCTATTGTCTGGTCTTTTTTTAGAATTGTGCAGGGATAGAAGTTAACTTGTAGACTTAAAAAAAACATAAAAATGGAAATAATTTTTATTTAATAGAAAAGATAACTCCAAAGATTGAAAAGATTTATGTCACTGTTGAACTTGAGTCATGTGTATTCTTCTATCATTGCCCCAAAATATCTAGCCTTTTCAAATGCTCTTTGGTTTTTACAACTTACTGGGTCTCTCTACTAAATTACATAAGCTTTTGACATATGCCCATTTTATATCTGCATGAGAGTCATGATGATTTTACGTTTCTGAAAATCATGGTTAAAAATAGTTTACTTTGACATTTACCTATCACTATTTTACAGATGTTCACTGACACCTTTACAATTTTATCAGTACTGTTTTTGTTTAATTTATTTTTAATCAATTGATAAATTATATTCTTTATAATTTTAAGAACAAAAGGAAAATAATATTTCAACAAGGTTTTCTTTGTTCCTCTTTAATATAACAGAGTTTTGGGTTCAACTTGGGACAGTTAGGCCAGGCACTTTAAAAGGCTGTGTGATTTCCTCACACTAGTGAAAACATAAAAATCAAATACTTTGTTGTCTTCAAGTTGTTGCAGTAACAAAGCAGTTAAAGCATTCATTCAAAATTTCTTCTGAAACACTTGAAGAAGGAGATATAGAAGGCTGTGTTAACACATTTGTATACTGGTTGTCTATATGTTTACTTCCATGTGTGTGAAAAAGCTGAATAGAAGAGCAAATACACCACCCGCACCTCCAGATAAGAGAAATTTTCATTTCCAAAAGAAAAACACTTACATTTGAGTGTGTATAAACAAAAGTTATCTTTAATTTTTAAATCCATATTATATAGTTGGTTTACTATATTCTATATTATTAACCTACTTGCCCTACCTGAGGAACTCTGTCCTTCCTACAGATAGCTCCCTTATCATAATGTTATTGTCCATTCATAAATAATGTGGTTATACAAAAATCCCTGTTGGAATTTTTGAGTGTTTTTAAAATTTTCTCTCTGTACTTAACCACTTATATTTTATCCTATTTCCTCTACAACTTTATTTCATATTAGACTGTCTTTATAAGATTTTTTTATATTTTGTTTGCATTATGTAGTATATTTGGGGAGAATTATATAATTTAATATATATTATATACAAACATATGTACCACAGATCATGTGGTAGTGACTCTTACAATCAAAATTATAAGGTTGAACCACATCATATATAAATGTAGAAAAATTTCAGATAAAAGTTTTTAGGAAATTGGTCAACCTGTCTGTTGAGTATCTTGATTATTAAGTTTAGTGCAATTTTTTTTTTATCTGCAGGATGCTTAAAACATCTTTGTTGAACTGAACCAAATGGAAACACAATATGGTATGAAGAAAAAATATTTTTCAAGTTCTTGTCCATAACATTAGCATATAGAGAGTATACTACTTGACTTGCTTTTATTTGTAACTATTATGTGATAAGGATAACTCAGATTTAAAAACATTTTTTGACTCTTTAAATAGCCTTATAAGTGTACAAAGAGGGACTAAATGTGTTACCTTTCAGGCTAGTACTCTGGAAGTTTTAAAGGTTTGCATTATTTTAATTACCTTCTAATAAATTTAAAGATAAGTTTATTCAATTGCTATTAGATGCTACTCCTTCCCAAATGAATCGTGGAACCAAAATTCATAGGTGAATTTTATAATTGAATTCAGCCTTTATTTCTTTTTACATTTTTTGAAAACATTTTCATCTTCTCTTCACTATTCTTTGTTCTCTCTCTCTCTCTCTCTCTCTTCTTTTTTGATTGCTGCTTGGAGTTTGTTTTCTATTTGGTACATGGCACAGGGTTATGAGGTGTCAGGAAGGCTCTTGTGTGGCTTGGATAGTAAAGAATGGGGTTCTCTCAACTTCCTTTTTGGTGTTTTGCTGTTTTAATATTAAAGATCCCAACTTTCTGTTGGCTGTAGCCTGCTTAGTCTTGGGTGGGGGGGTAGGGAAGAGGAGGGGGGCGGCTCTCAGGAGCCTAGCGCCTTGGAAGGAAGCCTGGCAGCTAGTGGCAGCCACTCAGGACGGGGGCCCGGAGCTGGTTTTGCCAGGCTGGCCGCCAGGCTGCTACTTCCCTGAGCCAGGTCACAGGTGATCCTGCTGGTGGAGGTCTGGGGCAATTCCGAGTGCTCTGGGGACTCCAACACTGTGGCCATGACTGGGAGAGTGGACTACCCGAAAAAGAAGCTAGCCCACCAGTGTCCCTGGTAGACGTTTGGAAGACCGGGAGGTGGCGGAGGATGGCTTCCCCAGGGTACTCCGCACTTCTGCAGCAGCGGTTACTGGTAGTTGAGCCCGGGCGGCGCCGGCAGCAGTGGTGGGTGGCCGTCAGTGAGCCACTGGAGGGCAAGGCTGCCATGATCTTGATGTTTAGGATAAAACTTAATGTTTAGCATATAGGAAATGGCTACTATATATTTTCAAGTACCTCTGAAATTAAAAAAAGCTAACTCACTTGAGATTATGCATAAACAGGGCATTAGGGCTCTTTCTTGCCTTTCTCTTTTTTTATCAGGCTTGATTTGAAACAGTTCAACCTGGTAAGATGTGGATGGGTTAACTGAATGTGACCTGCATTGACCACCCCTAGAATTGAGATTTGAAGCATACTCTTTTATTATTGCTGGCTTACAGGCATGGATACAACTGTTAATTTATTAGCGCTTTGGTATGTCATAACTCAAAACAACTGTAGTCTAGGGAATCTCCTTAAACAAATACTCAAGAAAGGACTTTTCTATTTAGCAGAATTTGTATAACCTATATTAATGTGTAGACTAGGCAGTCAAACCGCAAACTTTGAATTTTTGCTTGTAATAACAATTTCATCTCTCATCCCGGGTTTCACTTTACTTTCTCGATTTGAGAAGTCATTTACTATCTTCAAAAGTTCCCTGTATGAGATTTATAGTAGAATGTAAGCTTCCCAAGAGACCACATTTGTACATGTGCTGCTCTAAAATTACCAGCACCTAGCACACCATCACATAAAGGCACTTGACATTTGAATGAGTATTTTCTTTTTAAGTAATTTAATAAATGAATGATAAATAAAGAAATAAGCATATGTTAGTCCAATTATTACAACTATGCTCTGGGCTTTGTAGCAGCAGCATTTCTTTTTTTTTTTTTAACATTTTTTATTGATTTATAATCATTTTACAGTAGCATTTCTAAAAGGATAAAAGATACCCTAAACATGCTTGTTCTATTTCACTAATTTGCCAAAAGTAAGTTCTGAATATATGTATAAAGAAAATGTTGATACAAGAGAAACAAGCAAGAGCTACGTAGAGTGCCAACATATTTTCCTATTTATCCCACAGATTTATCAAATAAGTCCAAGATGAATTATGCTTTTATTAAAAATTCATAGTATTAGCATATGTTTTTAAAACCTTAAAACCGTGGTGTCAGGTTTGCCTACTCACGTGGTCCCTGCTGGAAGAAATACCAGGTAGTTGCAAAATAGCTGGCTAAGGTAACCATTTTGGTTTTGACTGTAACTGATTCATTGAATACAAGAATAATGTTATAGATTCAGAGAGAAATGGGGTCTTCTAGAGGTTTTTCTTTTTTTTTTTAATGCATTTTCTGAAGTTTTGGATATTTGTTTTTAGAAGGTACTATTGATTAAATAAAATGTCCTTTATAAAATGAGAAAGTCTTGTTTCTATAATTTATATTTTGTTGTACTTCTGAGAATAATTTGGTATCAGATTTCTGTTATAAATCACCAATACTTTTTAAAATTGCAAGGCTAGTCTTTGTATTTATTATTCCAAATTCCCATTGTGATATACCCTCAGGCAGGCACATCATTTATTTGTGCATCGTCTGCATGACAAACAAAGAATGCTGGCTGTATAATATTTAGCCCTTACCAGTTTTTAAAATATAAAAATATTATAGTAATGATTTCATATACATGTATCTATATATAATTATATATGTTAAATATATTTCTATATTATTTATATAATGTATAATGACATATGTACTGGAATGTATTATGTTGCAAATCAAAGTACCTTTCTTATCATACATTATTTATGCAAAAAAAAGACTCCATATGAACAAAAAGAAATGTTACATGTTTAGTTGAATTCTAAAGCTTATTTTTTACTTTACAACATGTATTTTGCTTAATTAGGTTAAATGACCACATTTATTGTAGGTAGATTTAATGTAAAATAATATGACATTGAACATTAGATTTATGGGGCATTTTACACATTAACTTTAAGAGATCAAATAAGCCATAAAATAAAATACTACGTACTTTATTACTTAAGAAATTGACCAAGAAGAATGCAAATTGCTTATTGGTGTCAACTGCTGAACTGACAAAAAATTAAACAATATGAGTTAAAGAATGATTTCAGGCTATCTAAATATAAAAATTTAAGCTGGAAATAGAATGCAGGTTTTAAATATGTGATGTTGTGTCTACACAACACATTTTGGCAACTAATGTGTTGATACATAAGGCCACAGGCAGCAGTTATCTGACAGCTGGCTTTCCACATTTATCACATAGAAAATCTGCTGATCGTATTTCAGTTTTTCACCTGCACACGCAAACACAGGTATTGATTGTCATCCAAAGCAGCATCTTGGAAAAGATAGGTCACTGATTTCCCTCAAGGAAGGATTTCATTAAAATATTTCTTTTAAATTCCTATTTTTGGACTCTATTTTGACATAACTGTCCTATACAGTTTGAATCAAAAGTTCTGTTTTGATATTGTTAGAGTGCCAGCCTTAGTCGGACATACTAATGTAGTTCATACCTTTCTATGATTGAATAGGAGGGAAAAACATTCTGGAATGCAACAGAATTAGTAAAAGTAATATAGACGTGTAACTGGTGTACATACAATGTACTACTCATGAAATTATTAGTCTTTCAACAAATATCAGTAACAATATACATGTAAATTCAAGACAAACACAAAAAGTACTAAATAGCAATATAATTGCTACATAAAAATTGAATATGAAGAAATGTGAAATATAATGTGGATGTATATGGTTAATCAGCAAAAGAAAGGGTCGTGTTTTTAGATTTAAGAGTTCAAGTTGGTCTAGGAGATGTGGCTTGAAGATTTGTAATAGTGGAGAAATTGAGTTGAATCTGGAGGAAATGGTGGTTTGGTTGGTTAGAGAATAGAAGGATGCTATCTCAGAAGACTAGAAAAATATTGCAACAATCGATGAGCTCTTGGGCACGTGTGCTTGTGCACATACTTAGGGAAGCATGATGATCTATAGGAATGAGGCAAGACCTCCTTTTTCCTGGCTGCAAATAATGGACAAAACTCAGGTGTCAGTAAGAACTTCGCTGCATCTAAGTCTAAGTAAATAGAACATGTTTTATATTTTAATTCAAGGTTGTGAAGAAGACAGATGTTCCAAATGTTTTGAGTATCTGGAGGATAGATTCAGTCCTCTAGGCAATTTTTAGTACAGTTTGTGTGATTCTTAAACATATATTCAGTAATAAGAAATGGGAAAAAGAAAGATGTGATAGCAAGATGTTACCCAGAGTACAAGACTACCCTGGTGTTCTTTTTTCCTCCTTTCCTTCCTGGTCAATAGCTGAGGATATGCAGTGAAAAGGGTAACTGCTTTTATAATCTGACCAGAGATATAGTTAAGTCTGATTCTTCAGATACTTTCTCCATTTTGTAAAAATGACACATTCATTCTATTGACCAAAGACTAGGATTTTATTATCTGAATTACATTTATAAATATTTAAAAATACGTACATAAAAATTTCTGCTGTAAATTCAACTTTCATCTCAGTAATCTAGGATTTCACCTGAGAGAAATACTTGGTGTATCAACGTGGCTGTTTGTATATGGGATTTTCTTGGATGTTTTGGGCCTGAAGTTCATTAGATGGGAAACGTTACTCTACTAGCCAAAACAGACTGACCCACAAGGCACGAACATCTGGGTTCAGAGCCAAAGGGTATGAAGTTGCTCAGAGAGGAATGGAAGAAGTAAAAAAGCAAAAGGGGTAATAGTGGGAAGCCTATTAGAATCTGGACAAGACAACTGCTCTTAGGTAAATGATTTTATTTGTCATTCAGAGAAGCCTCCTTAAATCCTTGTATGACTAGGGTGGGATTGAACATTGAATGCAAAAGGAAATCTACAGTCAAAACATATGGAAATTCATCCTTAACAAAATGAATACCAGTCAGATAAATGAGCAACTGGAACAGGTAAAACTGTTTTTTCTACAAATTGAGCATTTTGACAATTTGGATCAAAATAGTCAGTTTGATATGACAAGAAATAAATACAGAGTTATATAAAATGGTAGTGAATCCTTGTTAGAACTGATCAAAGTTCAGAGCAGAATAATTATTCTTATCTGGCCAGTAAGTGAAAAGAAAAACTGATGATGATCTAAAATTATCTTATTTAAAAAAATGTTTAAAGTCACGTAATTACTCAAATTTGAATTTATTTAGATTCAGAGCGAAAACTACTGCATAGTTTTATTTTATTAAAATAGATTTTAAAAGACATGAAAAGTAATTTGTTAGAAATTTAAAATCCTCAATGAAAAGATAATTTTAAAAAATCTATGATACTATGGTATGGTAAGACTATTAAATGTATTTTTTTATCATGGCCTCACCTTAATTATGGTAAAGCTTTTTCATTTTTGGAATGATTAAATCATAATTTTAAAGATGGCTTATTATAATTTACAAGGGGGGCAGAGTGTGAAACAAATGAGACAAAACTAGAAAGGAAAATGAGATCTGTGAAGATGATTATGAAGGGAGATACAGCTTAACACTGGAAATATGATACATTGCCAGATAAAGAATAAGTCCTCTGAAAAATAGGAAAAATAAAATATAGTTCAGATTTATATATATCAAATATGTATACATATTATATATGATTAAGAAAAAGAAGTGTATGTAAGAAATTGTCCTATAAAAAACAGATTCAAAATCAGAGTCATCATTTTGATACTTTCTCCCTTTTTTACGTTACTCACGTTATAAATTTTGTAACTTGAGAATTAGATTATATAAGAATGGTTAGTTTAAATTGATTGGATGTTTGAGGTTCATTATTGTGTCTGGGAAGTCATCTGATTAGAAAAATATATAAAGCTACCCCACATAATCTACAGGGCTCTCATGTTTTTGTTTTTTCTGTCTTTTCATGCAGAATAATTTCTGAACACTGCAGCACGAGCTGTGTCTTTCCTAGTTACCAAAGTAAATAAAGCACATTGGATTCCTAGGACTGTGATGGAGAATGAGGTGGAATGAGGATTGGAATTCAACTGAGGATTTTTAAAACCCAAAGAATAGATAATGT